GTTAATAATAATGAAACAGAATGAATATTCTAATTAAATAGGATGTTATTCCTGTGACTAGTGTGTGACCATTTTGCGAAGCAAATGGTTACATGCTAATTTAGTCGACTAAAAGAAATTTTGACCAACTAGTAGTCGACTAAGGATTTTTTGGACGATTCCAACCTCTAGTCATTTTTGAGAAAATAATGCAGTTACATGTAATTTGAGTCAAGGAATCTTTTCAGCTTAGAAATATACTTAATAGAATTTTGATTTTTTTAAAAAATACCAATATCGAAATTACTAATAAAAATTTTTTGATCAAAAACATTTGACTGATTTTCCCGGATCACGCCATATTCGAGACAATACGATTTTTTAATCCAGTAATACATTCCGATTTCCAAAACCTTCAGACGCACAACACTGAATAAAGGTAGTGCAAACAATTTTTTTTGATTGTAAGAGTGGTGTGAAATGTCGTACGACTATTATGAACTTCGGGTGTAAGGAAATAGAATTCCAAGATCGTCAAATTTGACCCATTCGTCGAACCTAATTTCCAAATTTGGAAATCTGGCGTTGGATTTGGATTTCTTGTTGTCAGCTCTTTCTTCGAAAAGTTGAAATAAGAACGCCAGCCGAATTGTTTTGGAAGACTGCATTCTATTATTAATTTTTCTCCCAATCGGAGCTTCCTCCTTTTTCAGAAAGAAATACGCCAGTCGAATTGTTTTGGAGGACTGCATCCTATTATAAAAAAAAAATCTATCGATCTTTTTGATAATAACTCCACATTTTTTTTCCTTATAAAAAGGTCATGTTTTTACTTGATAAATTTCAAATTATCGTTAACTTCAAAATGATAATGATTAAAGAAACCATGAAACGAAATTTTTTTTTGGTAGTTATTTTATTAGCTACGATCTCAATGATCAATGCTATTCCATATCAGCTTCATAAAAGAGCTACTACCTTTATAGAATGCAATAATGCTATAAAACCTCCACTTCTCACCACAACAATCACTCCTGATCCTCCCGTTCCTGGAGGAATATTAAGTATTAGTGCTTCTGGAGCACCAACTGACGGTATCCCCGCAGGTTCCATGGTTGCTATTGCATTTATTGGTGCTGATAATAATATCATAGGTACAGCTAGCATTACAGACTTTTGTACTTTGTCAGGAATCACTTGTCCGGTTGGAGCTGCAGTATCATTCACTATACCACCCATTAACATAACAGCGCCAGCCACTATTGCTGGTACCGCTTTGAGTATTAATGTTGTAGATGCCGCAGAGAAACCATTACTCTGTGCAGTGGCTCGTTTTTGATCTTCACAATGAACATAAGAATTTTTAAATGGTTGAAGAAATTCATTTACAATAAGCTTAGTTTTTTTCATCCAAAATCGTTTTATTGATTTTAGTAATTTTGTTTCTCTTGTAAATTCTTTGTTCCTTGTTTTATTTTTTTTATATTCCTTAGTTTTACAAGGAACACAAATTAAATTTTTAGTAACAGTAATTTTTATATTGGTTACCGATTTATTTCACTAAATAAAGATATTTATTCTTTTTCTTCACATTGCTCAGAAATGATGTTAATTTTTTCTCTGGCTTCGAAATGTACATGAGAAAACGGGTCACATGTAATGATATTTATAAAAACATATATTAATATTAACACTCGGTTACTTTTCACATAAATAAATTTTTATCCTTCGATCTCACTCCGAACGCAACATATTTTTTATCCGAGCTTAATATCACTATAAAAAACGTAACGCTATATTAATATTAATAATATATCTGATCGAGATACAAATATCAACGGATTTGTGATACTTTATCTGTAGAGAGACTTTATCTACAATTATGCTTCCACTGTTATGCTTTTATCTGGAAAATTGGATACGGTTTTTTCCCATTCCTTCATAAGGTCATCGAGCCATGCAGTACTTAAACGACATTTTAATATATCACATTGTAATAACTCTTCACCGATCAGCCTATCCCGATCTGTTAAAATTTTATAATATTTTCTAGGGTCTTCCTTGCTCTCCATTGCATCACGATAGAAGCGTATATATATATCTCCAAGTCATCACGGAAGCATTCCATGGCCACCTATTTTTCTCAGCCTCAGTAATTATCGAAATTTTCTCTCCATGTTCAATGGCATATTGATAAAGGCATTCTATTTTGTTTGGATTAGTCCTAAAGTTGAGGAGTTGCGGGTTTTGTTTGGTACCCTTACCTGAGTTTCCGGCAAATTGTTCTGTAGGATATAATTATTAGCATCCTTTTTGATTTGCGAGGATTCAAAAGTTTCAGACTTTATATCCAGGGATTGAGCCCAGTTTCTTTCTTATATCTTTTATATATATACAAATTTTATCTGTTAAAACGCCAATTAATTTAGCATGCCAATCCAAATATTCAGGGGTTAAATACAAAGTGTCCTACTTCGTAGAGATTTTATCAGACCTGGTCTGCAAGTTTAACGCATTCATGTTGTCATTTTATAAGATCACAAATCATTCAATACCTGGATCGTATATAGAGGTTTTTGTGTTGCATAATTTTGACCAAGATAAAAAAGTAATACGTAAAAGTATCCAATATTTCGATGCAGTAATACGGAAAGGTAATATGCAAAAGTGCAAACAAATTTTTTGATTCGGTAATACGTAAAGGTAAAATGTCAAAGTATGAACAATTTTTCAATGTGGTAATACGCAAAGGTAATCAAAATTTTCGATCCAGTAAAACGACAAAGCGTAGGTCGAATTTTTAGTAAAGTAATACGCAAAAGTAAACAAAATTTTCGATCCAGTAATACGTCAAAACATAGTGCATAATTGGTGATAGCCAAAAGTATAATTAATACAAAAGATATATAAAAATTGTACCTTTGGATAACACCAGATAATTAGGATATGGGTAGAAAAATTCGAAGAAAAAAGGTGATAGCCAAAAGT